CCCTCAGAGTTCCTCATCCATCATTTCAAGTAGTGAGGTGGTCCGCAATGGACAAACCTTTAATTTTGTTAGCCAGGGCTGCACTCCTGCCAACATCAAGCTTAAAATCATTGGACTTGCCAGGGTCTAGTGGCTCATGCCTGCAATCCTAGCTACTCAGAGGGTGAGATCTGAGGATCATGGTTCAAAACCAGTCTCTGCAGTAAAAGTCGGTGAAACGCATCTCCAATTAATCACCAAAAAGCTGAAAGTGGAGCTATCCAAGTATACAGTTAGCCTTGAGCACCAACACTCCTGCCCAGGCCCTGAATTTAAGGCCCAGAACTGGCATACATACACACAAATTATTGGACTTTCTCCGCATTTGAGTAACAGTATCATTCTACTCTTTTGCATGCTGATTCCCCAGCACTCCCAGCCCATCCAGGTCATGTTAGCCAAAGAAAAAGAGAAACAAAGGGAACCAGGTTCTCTTGCCACCTGGGTCTCCTCTTAGAAGACACCAGTACAAAATAGAGAACAAGTCTGGCACTTTGACAGGTAACAGGGTGAAAGGTGACCGCTCCCCCACTATCCAGATTCACAGGTGAAGTCCTAACACCCAGTCTCTCAGGATAAAACTGTATTTGGACACAGGATCTTTACAGTGTAATTCTATTAAAACAAGGTTATGGGGTGTGCCTTGATCCCACAGGACGTGTGTGCCTATATAGACTCACCTTGAGAATGCAGGGAGAAGCTGGCCACTGCAGGCCAAGGAGAGAGGTCTCAGACTAAAGCAACCCACCCTGCCCCAGACTTCATTACCCAGGGCAGCCAGAACAAAGGTCTTCTGCTTGGGCCTCTCTGCCAGTGGGGTTTTCTCACAGCAGCCCAACCTGACTCAGATCAATGTCAAGTTGCCTCCAGACCAGGCCACGTGAAAATGAACTCTGAAATGGCAGCCTAGCCCAGAAAGTCAAGACTACTTTTTTGAAAGAAAAAAGAAAAGGGCAAGGAAGTGGGAAAAGTGCCACTTGAGTGCTAAGCATTACTTGGGCCAAATATAAGATTCTTCAGAAGCCAAAAGAGAATCTATAAAGCACATCCAGCCTGGTAATGGTCCATGAGTCAGGACATGCTCAGAGTCTCTGGTCCCTGTACAGAGCCCTGTTTAAGAGGCCATGTCAGTGTTATTTTCTTATTAAGAGCTCCTGGTTATTTTTATTATTAATTACTATTGAGCTTTTTCCCTCTCTGTTCCTCTGAAAACAATTTTTTGCTTGGCACATTAATACTCAATCAGCATCATTCCATCCTTTAATAAAGAAGGCTAAGGTGACAGGCCCCAATCCAGAGAGGAGAGGGCAAAAGCAACTCTCTTATAGTGGGTGCTAGTTAGGAGGTAAAGGTCCAACTGAGTTGAATGGGGAAACTGAGGCAGAGAAACCCAAGAGACTGAGAACACACTGGAATCAAGAATGAAATGAGGTGAAAGCTATAGCCCTTTTAATCTGTATAGCAGCTATTAGAAATAGGACCACAGCCCAAGGCCAGCCCTGGGCAAAACACACGTGCCCACACATGCTTATATGTTCTGCTTAAGATTTTCAGAGGCTCATGAACCCTTTAATGGACCCTTTAATGCCCATGAATGGACCTTTCCAGGTGACAAACTCTTGACTTAATTTCTTACTAACCCTTGGCCTAATGTCTCAAAGTGCAAATATCCACAGAAACAAATGGATTACAAATATTCCTTCTTGGATGGGTGGGATTGGGAGAAATGGAGAACAATGGAAGGGGTGACAATGATCAAGATGCACTGTGCTCATAAACTGATAATGCTAAGATGAAACCCCTTTGTACAACTACTTAAAGATAACAAAAATAAGCTGGATGCCAGTGGCTCACGCCTGTGATCCTAGCTACTTAGGAGGCTGACATCTGAGGACTGCGGTTTAAAGCCAGCCCAGGCAGGTATGCCTGTGAGACTCTTATCTCCAATTAATCACCAGAAAACTGGAAGTGGTTCTGTGGCTCAAGTGGCAGAACGCTAGCCTTGAGCTAAAGAGCTGAGGGACAGCGCCCAGGCCCAGAGTTCAAGCACCACGACCAACAATAAATAAATAAATACCTTAAATGTAAACAATAAATAAAAATGTTCTTTCTATAATCCTTCATGGTTGCAAAGACTGGACTGAGTTTAAATGACTATCAATTCTGCAATGTCATGGTCAATATTACAGGAATATGATGAATTTAAGAATGTCCCACACTACACCAAAATGTATGGCGAAGCCAAAGCTTCAGGGTACAGAGTCTGTTATGAGTGTAGAGACAAACTATTCCTGAAGAACACACAAGCCAGAAGCAGTATTTGTGTCTGAGATAGGTGAGCTAAACCATATGTGATTTGAGGTTGGGAACAAAATTACTTGCTATTTTTAATCCTCATTATTAGATTTTTATTTAAAAGATAGTTGAGATAAATAAATGGAAAAATGGATGGATAGAACAGATGGAAAAAAGAAGAGACAGGGAGGACAGGCAAGAAACCAGGAATGAACAAGCAAGAGAAAGACTGATAGTTTTAAAAGAAATTGGGGCTAGCTAAATCCCCAAATATCCCCACTCTTGAGAATAGCTGCTATTGTAAAACGCTGGCACAGACATAAATAGGAAAGTGTCTCATAAATGTTTTCCCTAGCTCTGCTGTGCCACCACTCAAGGCAGCTGAAGAAAGTCTCTCCCACAACATTGCTTTTCTAGCTTTTCCTCTTGCTGAACCAATTTCAGGACATGATCACAACAGCTCCAAATATTATTTTTTAAAGGCTGATGTTTCTCACTAAATACCCATTAAACCAAGCTCCTTGCTCCGGTTACAGGGAGCTTAAGGGCAAATCCAGATGGTACAAATAGTACACATTCAGATGCTATGTGCATGAGGTCCCTCATCAAATAACCATTATCAGTTCTGAGAGTCCCCAGATGCCTGACACCCACAGGTGTGTCCAGGTGAGAAGAGATGGCTGAGTGCTCTTGATCTGGGCAAACCATCTTCACGCTCCCCAAGAGCTGCATTTGCCTCTCTATCTGAATAGTTAGCAACAGCTAGGAGGGTTGCCTGGTAACCTGGCAACAGGTTATGCCTGGTGTTCAGAGCAGGGGAGGTGACAGCATCTCCCACCATAAGGCCCCACCACCACTTAACCCTGGCTTGCCCAGGATAACCCATCAATCCTCAAGGTTTTCAACACAGTCACCTCTTGTCCTGTCTTTCCCATGAATCTACTGGAAGAAGTCCAGGGAAAGGATTTTTGACTGCTAGACTCTCCCTGTGCTTTAAAGCTAAACAATGGAGACATGAGGGCAATCTGACTATGACACTGGCATCCCACTGATGACAAGGATCGATCACTGATCTGACTGTATAGGAGGGTATACCCTTCCCTTCTCACAGCCCTATATGTCCCTTCCTAAGGCTGCAAGGACAGCCTTCCCCCATAGAACAGGACCTTTCTTAGGTCAAAGGCACATAAGTAGCTGTGATCTACATGTTGGACATGTTGTTTATCTTATGACAAGCAACAGAACAGAATAAAGTCTGGCCAGTACTGACATCCTACAGGACACTCGGAATCAGGACTGCAGTCTTCAGAGGGGCAGATGGGGGCCAGGACACTGCTATGCAGAATCTGTGGAAAAGCTCACATGGTTGTGTGTATGGGACTTGACACAGAAAATGGTACGTTTTATGGGAACATGACATCCAGCCTCATCACAAGAAACCATCTTTGACTACCCTCCCCAGGGAGAAGATAGGAGGCAAAGCCTCGGTGGGTTTGAGTATTGATGTAATGCGTGGCCAGAGGTGAGGGCAGCAGTGATGTTCCAATCCCCAGTGGCTTGAGCTCCTGTTTAGACAAAGTTTGGGTCCTGATATTACCCTACAGGGGAAGTCATGGAAAATACTGAGATTACTAAGTAGAGTGGAAAAGACAATCAAGGTCTCTGTGAATAATGCATAGACCTGACCATTCAGATTGGGCTGGGTGTAGCTTGGCTTTAACTCTTTCTTATACTGACTTTCCCTGAGGGATAGATGTCTTCTTAGCCTACAGATGGCAAAAATATCAAGTGAACCAGCCAACAATGGGAATGAGAAAGGACTTTGTCCCATTGTGTCACTCCCATGAATACAACCTGTCACCGAGATGATTTTCCTCATCACTCAAGAGTGCATGCCATGCAAACAGGGGTGCCATTCTCAAATGTCCACACATGGGCCCTCTGTGGTTTACAGAAGTGGGACGGCTAGGGGTGAGCGGATCACAGCATCTGCATGCACTTCCTAAATGAATTCAGAGGAAAAAAAGAAGTCCAGGGGCTCTCCTCATGCTAACTGGACCTTAAATGGGCCAAATGTTCTCAGTAAACAACTCCTAGGGGTTTCCTGGGAAGAAACAACTTTCTTCTCCTAGAAGAAGAGTCTGACCTGAGGATGGAAGACAACACATTCCACAACATCAACAGATTCTCAAATGTCAACAGCCTAGACCAGCCTGTGCTTCCAAGATTTAAGAATTATTACCCTTCACTTCAACTTTGCCACCAGTATCTATAGTTTTCTTGGCTGCAAATAAAACCAGAAACTCCCTGGTTACCAGGTGAATGGAGAACATGATCTTCACATAAATGAGAAAGAGCACTTGGGATTCACCAGAGAAAAGGAGATGCAGGGACCAAAGCCCAAACTTTCCAACCCCATCAGTCCCATCCCAATCAAAGCCTGCATTCTCCAACATGGAAAAAGGAGCAAAAGCTGACATTCATGACTGTGGGTATGCTAAGTGGATAGCTGTGAGAACCAATGAGAAATGGCGCATGGGACCAGAATGCACAGAAGGGGTGAGCAGCCTGGAGAAGCACAGAGAGCAGCTGGCATTTCCCCCATCCTCAAGCCAGCCCCAAGCTGTACTGCCTGGTTCAGCAGGTGTCTGAAGCAGAGAGCTTGCCTGAAAAAAGTCCAGTGCTACCTATCCGGATGGAAAGTGCACTCTCTGGAAGGAGCACCGCAGGGCCCTCAGGGTCCGATTTTTTCACCAACACGGGGTCCATGTTCAGTGCCAGCGCTGTCTGAGGATCTTCTCCTACACCCTGAAACAAGAAGCAGCAGCATTACTAGAGCACTGTCATTCCCTTCCACCCCCATACCTTTCCAGCCCCCAGATACCAAGGTAAACAACCCATGTCTGCCAAGAGCAACAGGACCATGCTGGGCTCTAGGCTTCCCTGGTTTTCAGGCCAGGCTGGATTGTTGAGAAGACACTAAACAATTGGGCGTGGAGGGTTTTGAGGATTCTAAAACCAAGACTGAGGAGTCCCTGTGGATCCTAGGAAAGAGAAGAACATACTGGCCATAGTGAGAGCCTACATTCTTAAAACAGCCCTCCCCCCCACACACACACACATTACTGAGAACTGAATGGACTTAGCTTCCAACCTACCCAAAGAAACATGTTGTGCTCACAGAGCTCACCTGTAATCCCCCCACTACTCTGGAGGCAGAGGCAGGAGAATCTTGAGTTCAAGGCCAGCCCAGGTTACATAATAAGACCATGTGAAAAAGGAGGAAGAGGAGGATGGAAGGCAGAAAGTAAGGTAGGAAAAAGGGAGAGAAGAAAAGAGAGAAGAAGGGAGAGAGGGAGGCAGCAGGAAGGAAGAGAGGGAAGCAGGAAGAAGCAGCAGTCCACAAGGCTGTCTTCCTCACATAATAACTTCAGCATAAGATACAAGATCAATGTGATTAGGAAGTCATAATCTTTCCAAAGGACAAAAAAGGTAAAAGTTCCAATATAGGAACACAAATATGGAAGTATATCAAGTATCCTTTAATTAAGCAGCCAAGTCTGCGTCATCTTTACTCAGTTCTACTATTTCACATCAACCAGGCAAACTAGTTTATTCAACATACATGTACTGACCACCAACTGCATGGTTGTCGACAAACAAGAGCAAATCTCAGCTCTCACAAAGTTCTGTTCCAGCTACAACAAAGCCCTGATAGGACATAATCTTCTATCAGGAAGATTTCAGCAGAAGTAACAACTACAAACACACCACATCTCAATAGGAAGGAGATAGACGAGGGCTTGAGCCAGTCCACACGCACCTGTACATTCATGCAAAGACCTCAGAGCTAAGGGCAAGTAGAGAGCGCCCTGGGGAAAAAACAGCAGCAGATATGTACGAGGCACCATGGTCTGTCCAAGATCCTCTGACAAAGTACTATAAGGCAGGTAATTTTCCAATAACAGGAATTTGCTACTGTCTGGAAGCTAGGTGGACTAAGAGCAAATCATAGCAGATCCCATGTCTGGTGATGGCTCGACTTCTAAGTCACAGACAGCACCTTGAAGCTGTGACTTTACACAGGAGGTGGCACCAAGTCCCTCTCAGGTGTCTTTTATTAATTATTAATAATTATTATTTATTCCCCTTAAAGAGGACTCCATCTTCATGACCCAATCATCGCCCACAGGTTGTACCTCCTGAAGCCACTGAAGAGATTAGGATGTCAACATAGGAACTGTGAGGGAACAGAAAACATTTGGAGCAAAAATAGTTCCAAAGAAGTTGAAGTTTCCACTAAAATACGTGACATTAATATGGAAGAGGTGAACACTTATGATGTAATCATGGAAATGTACCGTTTGTTTAAAAAAAAAACACCAAAACTCTTTCCTTGGGTAAGTTCTTCCATGAAAGAATTTCAGAAAAGATACCAGATGGCAGGCTGTATCACACACACACACACACACACACACACACACACACACACACACACACACACACACACACACACACACACACACACACACCGCTCCTTGTTTTCTCATGGCCATGATAATCAAGGATAAGAAAGAGAACCTAGAAATTCAGATATCTTATTCCATCACTTCTTTCCAACGAAGCATTAAAAATGAATATATAAGTTCTTCCTAGTGTCTTTTCATCTGGCTAACACATCTGGATCCTTTTCTTGCTACATCCTCTGTAACTAAGTTTAATAAGGATGCCACAGCTGCTTTAACCTAGAAGCCTCCAGCCACATTTGGCTAGCCCAAAAGTCCTCGGGTCCTCTGCAGAATGCAGAGTCCTGGGATCCTCTGTAGGCACAGAAGCAGCAGCATGCTATACCATGGTCAAGGCTGGAGCTATCCATGAACAACAGGACAGGCTGTGAGCAGGTCAGTCCCTATCTCTGCAGAAGCCCTCTCTAGCCAACTCTGGTGGCTGTGTCTGTGTGATGTGCCACAGGCCACAGCCTCTCAGCCCTTCATTTATGTACTTTAATTATGTCTAACACTATGCCTCCTTCCTGCTGACATCTGAGGAATTGTTCTGGCATTAAAAGCCACATCTCACCATGCAAGTTTGTCCGCTGACTTTCCTTCCTTTGTCTTCCTTTCTTTTAGGATGTGATTGATGCCAAACTAGGGGAGGGCTGCTTCATGATGGGAGGCACGCTGCAGCATAACACTCCATGAAGAGACTGGTCACTGGATAGGAGCCACTCACTGAGGTGTAGCTCCTACTGACCTGGGATTTTTCAGCTGGATGATTTCGCCCACATCCTGCCCTAGGACATGTGGCAATGGCATCTCTGGATGTCACAATGTAAGTGGGCATGATTGAGGTAGATGGAAGCCAGAGAGTCTGCTCAATGGAGATCAAGCCCCATACCAGAGAACATCCCAAATAAATATCATCATTGCCAAGGCCAAGAAACTCTGCCTTAGAATACTAAGGGTTTAAAAAAAAAAAGGACCCAAAAGCTCCTCTGTATTATTACAGAATAATGCTGGGAACTCAGAGCCCCTTCCTATAAAGAAAAGAATTTTACCATTTCTTCTAGGAAGGCTGCGTGCCCTCAGGTATTCAGTAAATTTTTAATTAAGCATCAGCTGTTTCTCAGAGTTGTTCTAGCTCCTAGCAATAAAAAGAGCCAAGTCTTCTACCTTCATGAATCTTTCTGTCTCTTTTGATGGATTATAATAAGACAATTGACACGGTCAACACACAAGAGGCTCAGGATTGATAATGTTCAGGAAGAAACTGGGTCTTAGCCATGGTACACAGCCATCCCCATACAGGGGCTTTGTGCCAGCAACATCTTCACATCATGGGAGCTCACACACTTATAAACGTGGCAGAGGTGGGCTCCTTGGGCTACAATGAGTAGGGAAGTCTTCCTGAGAAGGTAGACTTTGAGCAAAAACCTGAAATATCCAAGAAGCAAACACTAACATCAATTTCCCCTCCAGATTCTTCTACCAATCTATCAATCTACACTTTGGTGGTTGTGTTGCTTTCTATCCATGTTCTAGGGGGCAGGGCACTAAGAAAATTCTATCCTAACATCACTTAGAAGCTTCCCTTTTTTGGGGGGGAGGGCAGACATGAGGCCTGAACTTTGGGCCTGAGCACTGTCCCTCAGCTCTTCAGCTCAAGGCTAGTGCTCTACCACTTGAGCCACAGCACCACTTCCAGCTTTTTCTGCTTATATGGTGCTGAGGAATGGAACCCAGGGCCTCATGCATGCAAGGCAAGCACTCTACCACTAAGCCACCTTCCTAGTCCAGAAGCTTTCTTTTTAAAAGCCAGGCCAGGACCTAGTATATCTCACCTGTATCTGCTCCCATCTGTACCCCACCACTACTACCATGTACTCCATCAGTCATTTAGCTTTCAGAAGGGTGGGCCCCGTGTTTATTTCAGCACCATTCACAAAAACTTAGACGTTGAATCAGCCTCTGTGCTCACTGGCTAAAGATAGGATAAAGAAAATGTGGTGCATATACACAAATAGAACTTTACTCAGCCATCAAGAAGAAAGAAATCAGCAGGGCACTGGGTTGAGGGGAGGGTGGTCCATGATGGGCAGTGGCAGCAGGATTCATGCCTACTCAGGAAGCTGAGATATAGACTGTGATTCAAAGCCAGCCCAGGCAGGAAATTCTGTGAAACTTTTTTCTCCAATTAACTAGCAAAAAGCCAGAAGTTGAGGTATGGTCAAGTGGTGGAGTGCCAACCTTGAACAATAAACCAAGAGAGATTGAGAAGCCTTGAGCTCAAGCCTCATAAAGAGGGGTAGGGAGAAGGAGGAAATGGAAGAGAAGAAAGGGAAGAATAAAGAAATCTGCAAAATGGATGCAGCAGGAGGACTTTACATGAAGGGCTATAAATGAATAAGCAGAAAGACAAGTATTGGCTGTTCTCTCCCATTTATAGACACTAACATGGACATGAAAGAACAGTGATTGATTACTAGGGATTGAAAAGGGTAAGTGGGGGGTGGGGAAGGAAGGTGGACTTGATGGCTGCATGATGCATACATGTATAGAAATATCACACTGAGCCAGGCACTGGTGGCTCATGCCTGGTAATCCTAGTTACTCAAGAGGCTGAGACCTGAAGATCGCAGTTCGAAACCAGCCCAGGTAGGAAAGTCTGTGAGACTGTGATCTCCAATAACCACCAGAAAACCATAAGTGATGCTGCAGTTCAAGTAGTAGAGCACTAGACTTGAGCTGAAAAGCTCAGGGACAGCGCCCAGACAACTGACAAAAAGGAAAAGGAAAAGAAAGAAATGTCACATGAGAGCTCCCCTATGACCCAGCAATCCCACTTTTGGGCATTTACCCAAATGATCACAAACAAGACCATACTAAAGCTACCAGCACGACTATGTTTATCGCAGCATTATTTACCATAGCTAAGTGGAACCAACCCAGATGCCCCCCGGTAAATGAATGGATCAAGAAAATGTGATATTATATATATATATATATATATATATATATATATATAGGAATTCTATGCCTCCATCAGAAAGAATGATATCACCCCATTTGTTAGGAAATGGAAAGGCTTGGAAAAAATTATATTAAGTAAGCCAGGCCCAAAGAAACATAGGTCCCATATTTCCTCTTATTTTCAATAACTAGTACATGTCTAGGACAAGCAGAAAAGGTCAAAAGCTATGTACATATGATCATATAAGATGATGTTAAGCAAAATGAACCCCAAGGTAGGGACACAAGTGCTTTTTTTCTTGCTATTGTTTTTAACATATTTATAATGTGCTATGTGAT